AGTACTTTTTGTAATATTTAATGAACGAATGAAACTTGCAGCTGGATCTTACTCTTCCAATTCTTCCTTCACAAAAACATGAATAAATATCCGCGGTCTGATCATCAGATAAATTAAAAAAGATACGAGACAATCGCTGACTTTGTATAATACACAAAAATTATAATATATTAAAATATATTATATAAAGTATATTATAAAATACTCAAAATAAAGTATAATATATGTCACAACATATAACAGATGAATTAAACCTTTGGCTGAGTCTTAATTCTTTAATTACTTTTACGAAAACATAAATTCGCACAAAGGTCCGCAATTTGGTCCTCGGTTATCGTCACTGATAAATCAAAAAAACACGAGACAATCTCTGTCGCGTAATAAAATTACAAAAAAAACACATGAAATACTCAAATTTCGTCGTAATATCTAACAGACGAATGAACTCTCCGACTGAATCTTAATTCTTGAATTACTTTCGCGAAAACATGAATTTGTATAAAGACCCGTAGAGTCTGGTCATCAGTTATCGTCGCGGATAGATCAGAAAAGACACGAGACGATCCCCCCGGCCTCGCTTCTTATTTCTACGCACGTCCGCGCGTTCGAGTTCACGTTCGAATCCGAAGTTGTCATAACTAATTGAATCTTCACGCGCGCGTATACGTATGTTACGTACGTACACACAACGCCGGCCGAGTCGCGATAAACGCTCGGGGCCCGATAGAATCGCTCGCCACAGGATAAACTTGTCCGCGGCTGAAGTTTATTAACGCGCGCGCCGCTGGAAAAGAAATCGACTTTATAAATATTATACGAGAGAGAGAGAGAGAGAGAGAGAGAGAGACACGCTTGTGCAACGACGAACTGGTTTCCGCCGCGAGCGTTGCGTTATCAGCGAACCAGTTACGCCGCTTCCACGCCGATCCGAAAAGATTACCCGCCGACGAAACGAAGACATTTCTCACTTCCTCGAACTCGTACCCTGTCGCCGTGCGCCGAAAACGCTGTCGCGCAAATTAAATCAACCTCTCTCGCGCTGGAAGAGAATTTTTTTCTGCCAGGTTGCAACATTTCCTCAGTTTTAAGTATATTAAATATACCGTAACTCGGGCAAAACAAACGACAGGTTTGTTACTTCTTAATAATAGTAATAATAGTAAAATAATTTAATAATAATTGTAATAATTATTATATAATATTAATATAATAATTTAATTACAATTATTATTAATTACTATTTTATTTACTATTATTTATTACTAATATTAATTATTATTAATTACTATTTTATTTACTATTATTTATTACTAATATTAATTACTATTAATTACTATTATTAATATAATAATTTAATTATAATAATTTAAGTAATAATTAGTCAATAATCCAGCGATATCGTACCGACGAGTTCAAAAGAGAAAGAAAGCGACGGGTTCGGTCACTCGTTATGGTCCGCAATCAGTTGCCAGCGCAAGTGGACCCAATGCATGTATTGTTGCTCACTCGTGAAAAATTTTTTTTATGAAAATTATATTTTAATTACGATATGCTGTAACTGTGATGCTGAGATTGGTCGAGATGCAACTCGGTATTATCTAGATTGAGATTTTTATGAATTTCAAGGGGCGTTCGAACGAAAATGGGGAGAGGATGCATCTATGTGAAAATATGTGAAACCTGGTAGATATTTGATACGGGTAGAACAATTTTGCGTTCATTTCTTTAATTATATTCATAGACTCGTGAAATTGTGTAAATTTAGTTTAGTGATAATACATTGGTAAGATTCGGATGCAATTTGAAAGTGTTGAAAATTTCAAGATCTTCTTTTCTCTTTATTTATCAGAAGCACACACTTTGCTTACAGTCAATTGTTCGTTGTATATTGGTAAAATATTTAGCGAAGCTATTTTTGACGCTACGCGTTTGATTCCAATACTCGCGTCGAAGCTAAAATTTAACTTCCTACCAGCGCAAAGTTTCATTTACAATTTCATCTCTCTGCTTGCGCTGGGAATTCATGTCGAAATACACAGATCACATTTCATCCGTTGATGAAAAACTCTGTCAAACTCGAATCTTCTATTATCGAATGAAGTGTGTCGAATGATAAAATGTCAACTCTATGAAAGCAAACTTTCCCTCGTCTTTCATTCCGTTTCTTTCTCTCCAGCACCGTACCATCAACTTAATCGTTCCCTTAACCAGCGTGAAAACTTAATACTTATACGGGAGGAAAAAGAAGAAGAAGAAGAAGAAGAAAAAATGCGACAACGAAAGCGAACGAGCAAAGAACGAGGAAGAAAAAAGAAGGGGAAAGTAATGAGAGGTTCGATGGAATCTCGACGTTTCCGTCATTTCTGGCAGCAAGCTCGTTCGTGCAGGCTACGTTTATCCACCGCGTGCCAAATTACATTAAAACCCCGTACGTGTCGAGCATGCTCGCTAGATACGTGTATATACACACACACACACACACACACACACATATATATACATATATATACATATATATGTAACCGAGAGCGAGGTGCGTACACAGCTCGCGAAATATAATAAAACCTGTAGACCAGCGAGTTTGGTTGGTTGGCTCGCATGTTTCCCGTAATTTACGCACGAACAAGCGACATATTATTTCGCGTAATCACGCCCCGAACAGTATGAAAAGTTACTTCATGCGGTCTCTATGTTTCGCCGTGCCACCATCGACGGCGGTAAAATGGAAGTGGAGGGAAGAGGGACAGAAGGACGGTTACGCATCGAACTACATAACCAGCTATTGGTCATTTAATTATTGTATCCCGTCTCATAAATTATTCAGTTCCGTAACGTTTCGCCGATCTTCGGGAATTATTTATTGCGCGCACGTGAAGGGGTTAACAAACGCGTCTAATTATTCGTACGGAATAATTTCCGATATTTCTGCGCGATTTACGATCGGCCGATCGCCGATAGCCACGTTCAGGATCTTGCTTCGATCTACTTCCGATTTTTCGTGTCTCGAAATCGTCCGACTCCGCGAGTTTACGCGAACTTACATTGCGTTCGGATTTTTTTAGGGCAAATCTTTTGGGATTTTGGAAGAGGATGAGCACACGTCTGACGAACTGGTTAATTTTAGAAGTATAACATTTAATTATTTTAATTTATATATAGTATATATTTTTATATAACATATATTTATATAATATATAATATGTATCATATTTTTTAATAAATGTATATATATTAATACAATTATTTTCAGATTGATGACTGGATTGATAAACCAATGCTGCCGCATTAAAATTGTTATTTGCCGACGATAAGAAGAATTTTATCACCCAAATAATAAAACTGTCTTACTTGTAAGTCTTATAAGTAATAAATCAAAATTAATTTCTCATCTCATAATTTTCCTTGCAATTCTTTCAGGTAAGTATCAACGATTGTAATTATATTCGTATTATATATTTATGCTATTATATTTGTACGTTGTAACTATTTTTGTACTGTACTGTAATTGTTAATAATCAGACTTGTTCATGTAACTGTAATATTACGTTAGATGTAACGTTACACATACATAATTTCAACCTTCAAATATAAAATGATTTAAATTCAAGATTCAAATTCCACGAGTACGATTTGTTTTTCCATTCAATTGGAAACTACGATTACAAATCTTCGGATTATGAACGTTCGCTGCGTACTTTGGTATCAAGATTGCAAAAGATAACGACTGACGAGCAAGCAATATTCCAACATTCCAAATGAAACGTTCTGCCGAAGAGGACGAAGGAAGGTCCGTGAAGGAGGCCTGGTATCAGAGAAACGTCAACGAACTCGTTGATCGTTCGTCTAATAGGAACTAAAGGGACAAAGAGTATTTAAGCAAGCTGTTTGCTCGAAATGGGTAAACACGAGAGCATTCGTTTAGCAGAGAAATATTTACAGGGTAAATTTTCGAAGGCTGACAGTGCCTACCTATTCAACTGGGGCTGGTGCATCGGATCCGAACAGGGAAACGAGCAACGTTTTCGATCGTAAAGGTGTACTAATATTGCCAAGAAGAGAAGAAAGCCATAATACAGGCTTGTTTTAGAAGAATTAAGTCAGACTGGAAAATCGATATAAATTGATTTAGGTTTCTTAGAAATCTATTGTCTTATCTTGGATATTCGTGATCAAAGTTTCGTGATCGAACGTCAATCAACGTCGTGATCATCTGTTGTTGTTATCCTAAACGATTGGCATCGATGTTTTAATTTCACTGCTTTTTCGACGAATTATGTCAGGGCAATCAAACAGTCCGGTCGACTTGTACAAAATCGCCGTCAGAGGTTACGTTACATCCTTGCAGATGTTGCATTACGTTGCAGAATTACGGTAGAGCATTACCGTGTGAATTCTCGAGAGAGTAACCTATGTGATCGCAAATTATACAGTTCGCTGCTTACTCATCATCGATCGGAATCGTTTCGTTATTGACATAATTTTCAAAGTATTTAAAATAATACTTGTGGGTCTGTCGTAGATTTTTACCAAGTGTTACAAGAAACGCGAATTAGAGAACGGTTCCTTATTCATTTTCAAATTTGTCGATAAGTTGCGTTAGTTGTAAATCGTTTCAGAGAAAATGTATCTAGTATTCTGAAAAATTTTAAGATCGTATTATCCTAAATAACAATTGAAGAATGTTCATTTTCAACATTTCCCTTGAAATAATATTCGCTTTTCCAGTGTTTTTCAAACAATATCAATTACATCCTGAAAAGTCTGTCGTCAACCTCGAACTGTCGTCAAAAATTATTTCCAACGAATTCTAAAATAAGATTTCAATGTCCGACATAATCCCTTAAACAGCAATTACTTTTCGTTTTCATTGCAAAATCTGCTTGTGAATCGTACAATCCAAAACAAAATGATACGACAGTGTAACAGTGTAATTATCCTAGTTTTCGATAAATCTCCGCCCCAATCCCATCCTCAATAGCAGAATCGATCGTTGGACTAACCTGTAGTAAGGGAATCCCTGATGAACGTGAAGGTCCATGGGCATGGCAGGGTGAGTAGGGCCATGGTGTGCCGGCGCGGGGGTGTACTCACCGGCCGCGGAAAGGGGTGGCTGCATCATGCTCGCAGCGGCGGCCGCATGGTGGCCAGCGAGCATCGCCCCCCAATGGAAACCCGGTGCACCGGGCATAGCCGACGGATGTTCCAGTTCGAGGCCGCGGTGACTCGTCGAGGGTAACGCGCTACTTCCGGCCGATCCACCGGCTCCTCCAGCAGCACCGCTTCCGGCGACGCCGCCGCCGCGGTGCATTAGCCAGCCCTCCACCACGAACGTCGATCTTGTCCGTCTCGTTGAAACACACGTGGATCACACCCGGCAATAATGTTTCTACCACGTTAGAAAATTACACACTCTCCGTATCCCTTTCCCCTTGAGAAACCGACCGAAACGAGCGAAACCTTCCCTCTACCCCCTTTCCTACGTATAACGATACCTTCACCAGGAAGAACAAGAAAACCAACTCTCACCCTCCGGGCGATTATACGATCTAACGATCTAAAGGATAGACAGAATCACTTGACACACTGTCGACACATGATCGGTCCCCATGCACGACGCGAGCCGGCGGCCTCTCCGCGAGCCTGCCACCGGCTCCGGAACACGGCTCACCGGACACTCTCGCGATCCACTATCGTGGAGAATGCGGCGGACGTCGAGGCGCGTGGTAGTCGCACTTGGTAGCGCGTTCGTCTCCCTGGTGACGATCGGCGTCGTCGTCGTCGGCGGCGCGGTCCTCGCCGGATGTTCACGATTACGCGGGGGAGACAGGTGTTCCCGTGGGTTCCTCTCGCGAGCCGCTGCAGCTGGACGGACCCGGAGAGTGGCGCAGCCTTTAGCTCGGCCATGAATGACGCGCCGTACCTCGAGCCACTTCGCGGAGGCGGGGCCTACTCGCGCCCACGTGACACCTACCGCCTCCACCGCCTCTTTCCCCAACACCGTGCCACCACCGCCGCCCAGACCTCCCCTACCTAACCGCGACCTGCGTTCTCTCCCACCTCGACAACGCTGTGTCACCACCACCGCCGCCGCCGCCGCCGCCGAGCGATCCCAACCACCGCCGCCAAAGTCGATATCGCATCCTCCACAGCGACCACCGTGGAACCTTGCACCCGAGGACAACGCCGTCGATGGTTCCAACGCGAATCTAACCACCATCGTGGACGAGCGTCACAGTTTTCCACATTCCGAGGAGACTGCAGGTTCGTGATTGTGGGATACGAAGATGTTAAGTATCCAGTAGTACTGTACTACTGTGTGAACTGTAAAGTGAAACTTTGCAGTTTCGAAAATTTATTAGAAAGAGCGGAAAGACGGATCAGTGGAAATTATTACAAAATGAGATGTATTACATTTAAGATTTTTTTTTTTTGTTTTGTCTCATTTGATACTAGAACTACCAAGGACTAAAGTATAGAATTTTGATCGGAGATATTAAAGTGAAAAAAATAGAAATGCAATAGAATACACAAACTGTTATTCATGTATTTTATTAAAAAAATCATACAAGCCTCCAAAAATGCACTGTTTTGCATCTGTAATGTATCTAAAAAAAAAATTATGAACTAGTCATTTTGATCACTCGGTAGTTCTAGTGTTGATACACCTCTATATGGTTACTATAGAAATGCAACAGAATACACAAACTGTTATTCATGTATTTTATAAAAAAAATCATTCAAGCCTCCAAAAATGCACTATTTTGCATCTGTAATATAGCTAAAAAAAAATTATGAACTAGTCATTTTGGCCACTCGGTAGTTCTAGTGTTGATACACCTCTATATGGTTACTATAGAAATACAACAGAATACACAAACTGTTCTTCATGTATTTTATAAAAAAAATCATTCAAGCCTCTAAAAATGCACTGTTTTGCATCTATAATATATCTAAAAAAAAAATTATGAACTAGTCATTTTGATCACTCGGTAGTTCTAGTGTTAATACACCTCTATATGGTTACTATAGAAATACAACAGAATACACAAACTGTTATTCATGTATTTTATAAAAAAAATCATTGAAGCCTCTAAAAATGCACTATTTTGCATCTGTAATATATCTAAAAAAAAATTATGAACTAGTCATTTTGTCCACTCGGTAGTTCTAGTGTTAATACACCTCTATATGGTTACTATAGAAATACAACAGAATACACAAACTGTTATTCATGTATTTTATAAAAAAAATCATTCAAGCCTCTAAAAATGCACTGTTTTGCATCTGTAATATATCTAAAAAAAAATTATGAACTAGTCATTTTGACCACTCGGTAGTTCTAGTGTTGATACACCTCTATATGGTTACTATAGAAATGCAACAGAATACACAAACTGTTATTCATGTATTTTATAAAAAAAATCATTCAAGCCTCTAAAAATGCACTATTTTGCATCTGTAATATATCTAAAAAAAAAAATTATGAACTAGTTATTTTGACCACTCGATAATTCTAGTGTTAATACACTTCTATATGGGCACTAGTAGTTGCACGAAGCACATCAAAGACGGTACTCGAGTTCTTGCCATGTTCGCTGTAGCATATTCTCATCAATGATGTCAGTGATCCTCTGCTTTAGATTAGGGATGTCCCCTACCTTTCGATGCACGATATCTTTATCATAATTCCATGTAGATGTCTGTGAAGTCTCTTTACAATTTCAAGAATTTGTTACAGAGCGTAATCCCCATTAGATTTGACAAAGGAAATTAAAGTTTTAAATAACTTTAAAAATGGAGTTGATCAATTTAGATATTCTGCGAACGATTCACATGTGAGTGGCAGACTGTTTTACTTTATATAGTAATGTTTGTATAAATAAAGTAATATGAGTCAATGAAAATAACCTATTAGTTGTTGGTTACATGATATATTAAGAATTTTTATTTTTCGTATTAATATAAAATAATTAGGGAGTTATTGAAGGTACGAAACACTTTATCTTCGAGAAGTCGCATGTTTTACTTCATATACACTATAAACAATATTGGCACGTAATGATAAATAGAAAGTTTAATAATTTCACAAAATAGAGTTATATTCAACAAGACCAATGAACAAATAAAATATAATTTTAGAAGACACGCATTTCATTTTTGTAGTATCAAATTTTTAGAGTCATGTGTAAGCGCAATAAATTCTTTAAACTCTTGTACTCATCTCATCTGATTTTTATTAACCTTTTACGTTACGTTATATTTTATTTGTATTATTATTATATGTATTATTACATAATTTGCAAAAAAATGTGTGAGATGCAGCATTTTATTAGGAAAACAATATAATAGAGATTGTTTAATTATATATTATAATAAATGACCCTTTCGTTCATAAATAATAAAAATGTCACATTATCACGTCACATCTATAATTTTTTTATAAATTGTAATTATTTACGAAAGTACCTAATAAAGTATCAAATAATTTATAAAAAAATTATAGATGTGACATGATAATATGAGAGTTTAATATCAAACTGAAATATTGAGTTCAAGTTGAAGTCTATTGAAGTATAGTATACGAAAAGAATGTAACTATACCAAATTGCTTATGTAAACAAATTTTTAAAATATATAGCATTATTAAATATCATGATAGATTGATACTATTTCAATATTATAAAAGTGGTTGTCCTATTATATAAAAATTCCTTTTAGCCAAACACTTTCGTTCTATTAGGTCAGATATGGTTTTATGATCAACTTACTTTATTGTATCTACTGTTAAATTAACTACTACTTGGATAATCTAATTGATTAGTACCTAATCACAGTAATGTGCCGATATTTTTTATAGTTGTTATAACGAACTGTATCATGGCATGTAGAAGAACAAAAAGAATTGTACCCAATTTACTACGATTTCTATACATCTTGTTTGTTTCCCCATTCATAAAATTTAAAATTAATAACTACAACTGAAAATTACAAGATTACGATAACATCCTAATTGACGTGTAATGATAGAGCGTAAAATACAATACCTAAGTGGTTTAGATAATCGATACTCTATAATGGTGCATATATAAAGGTTTTTGTACAAAGCAATAAATGTAATAAGGTTGACAAAAAAGTCCCTCGCATAATCGAGGTGAAACTTCTTATTGATACTCGCCCTTTCACTCGGCGCTGCTACGGTGTTTTATTGCATTCCAACGGTAACGATCTATCAGCGGATACCATTTTGCGCCATAGCTCTACTCAAGTTATCAAATTATCTTCGATATAAGATGAATATCAACCCTATTTTATCTTGAATTCTAAACACAAATCGCTCAAACTTTTTTTTTATCTCTTTCCAAGGGATCTTACATAACAAATGCATAAAATGTTTTCGCGTAGTCCGGTGAATGGGACCACTCGCTTTAGACAGTTAAAAATAAATATACTTTTATAAAAAAAAGAAACCTATAATTACTAATAAAATATTAAAAACTACAATTAAAACTAAAACTATAGCTGAAAATAAAAGAAATATGATTACTAATAAAAAAAAATTAAAAACTAAACTATAAACGAAAATAAAAAAAAAACCTATAATTACTAATAAAAAATTAAAGATTAAAACTAAACTGTAACCGAAAATAAAAAAAGCTACAATTGCTAATAAAAAAAAATTGCCGCTGAGTCCAAACGAGTTATTCACCTTTCCGAAGTATTTTTTCGTGCGATATTAAAGCTAGACGAAAACAGAGGGCATATCGAGCGGCATAAAACGACGAAACTCGCGAGGTACCGCCTCCGATTACGAGGCGCGGAACGAGAGAGCACGTCGACACCCCCGCGAATCGACCGAGCCGTAGACGCAAGCTCGTTCTGACGTAACACTTGTTGAGCCGGATCACCCCCGCGGCCGTCCCTCGATGGACATTTAGCAAACGACCGGGGGATGTACGATGGAATTTCTGTTATCAGCCGCTGGACCTGGATCGTGAACGCGAGACAAATCGACTACGAACAATTTCCATCCTTTCGATTCTTTGCAATTTCTCACGAGGACGGATTAATGGTTGGATGATTTTGATCGACAAGTCAACGAGGAAAATTAATTTCTTCTTTTTTTTATCGTGTAATTAGCCGTCATCTAGACGGAAGCACTTCTACGATAGTGAAGTTAGTCGAGTTGAAATTGTATGTGAAATATAATAAAATCTATAACGTGGTAAATTATTAAATAACATAATGAAATTTATATCTGATGTAAATAGGTGCCATTCATAATGAATATACAGAATATACAATGATGTATTATATCGTATTATATAGTATATTATATTATGAATATAGATGTATAATGTCCTATAATGAATACAGATGTATGTCTGATGTAAATAGGTACCATTTATAATGAATATACAGAATATACAATGATATATTATATCGTATTATATAGTATATTATATTATGAATATAGATGTATAATGTCCTATAATGAATACAGATGTATGTCTGATGTAAATAGGTACCATTTATAATGAATATACAGAATATACAATGATATATTATATCGTATTATATAGTATATTATATTATGAATATAGATGTATAATGTCCTATAATGAATACAGATGTATGTCTGATGTAAATAGGTACCATTTATAGTGAATATACAGAATATACAATGATATATTATATCGTATTGTATAGTATATTATATTATGAATATAGATGTATAATGTCCTATAATGAATACAGATGTACATCTGATGTAAATAGGTACCATTTATAATGAATATACAGAATATACAATGATATATTATATCGTATTATATAGTATATTACATTATGAATATAGATGTATAATGTCCTTTTAATAATAATATATGATGAATTGTATATATTT